CCCCCCCCCAACAGCACAGTTGTGTAACATCTGGGTCTCACCTGCTCTCCTTCTGTGTGTCTCCGCAGCCACGCCCGGTTACGCTGTATGTGCACCTGCAACAGGTGTACCTTTTGCATCTGTCAGAACGTCCTCAACTCAGACTTGCTGCAATGCGTAAAGACCAAACTCTACACTGCCGTTCTCAACAGGTCCTTACCTTTCCTTCAATGGTCCCCATTCCGGGGACTTTTTTCAGAGCACTTTTTAACACTGCTTTTTCTCTGTTGTTATTAATATAGTGGGGGTTTAACGCTGCATATCCACTTGAACACTTTTAGGTGTGTTTAGATGTTTTGGATGCATTCCAAGCTGGATTTGTTGTGGTTGACGTTGAATACTTTGTCAGCCTCTGTTATAGTTCTGACCGTTGGTGTTCCAGCACACGCCTCTCCCAGTGTCCTCCAATGCAAACGGCTGCCTTCTCAGTTGATCAATTGCAGTAACAGCGTTTTCGGGGGTGACTCATTCTCTCCAGCGCTCTCTCTCAGTGCTGAGAGAAAGATCCTGGAGAAGAACTTCCAGAGTGACGAGAAGAGAGGTCTTTCTGATAGTTTCATTTTCAGACAGGGACATCTCCTGGACTGTTTGTCTGGTCAGATGCCTTTTCTGGTTTCGACTCGCAGTGCCTGGCTGTGTCCAGGATACAGGGGTATTAGTTCATTCCCATCACGCCTCTGGCAGGTCCTTTAAAACCCTCAATCAGCAGCTTGTTCAGACAAACTGAAATGCTTGTGGGGTCATGCATGTTTCTTATAGGTGAGACAGCTTGCAGTGCCGGTTACAAACTAATAGTGCTGTGCAGCAAAACCAGTTTGACTGCCTCTGCAGGCAGCTTAGGGCTGAGTGGTCTGTCTAGCAGCTGAAGCACCAGGAGGTTGTAGGTTCGAGCTCCAGTTGTGCCCCCAAACTTGACGGCTACTGCGCTCTGTCCTTTGGCTGAGATGAGGAGCCAAGGCCCAGCTATCTGAGAGACTGCAGCCCCCATCCCTTTTCACAAAACCATTTGCTAATTATTGAGGGCTGTGCGTTGGGCAAACAATCCAGCTGATAACAAATGGTTTTGAACGCTGCCTAATTGCCTGCAACAGATATTGCTCTGCTGCTGCAGAAGCCTTTCCTTCTACTATATACCTGTCCAGCTCGGGTTGGAGGACAGCTTTCTCCAAGTGTAGGTCTGTCCATTTCACCCCCAAAATGACCTCTCCTGCTAATCCTCTTCCTTTGCTGGCCGGTCAAGTGGGCTGCTGTGTGGTAAGAGGATCTCCTGCAGAGCTCTTCCCTGATAAGCTGTCTGACTCGATCTAAAAAGATCGCCAGGGAATCTCTTAAACCTCATGGTTACACAAGGACATCAGCCAGTAGCTAATAAGTGAGTTCCCTCCGCAGAGTTAAGTGAGAAATTCTTCTTTTACGTGACTCCAGTATGTTGTATTGATAGTGTTTATAGTATAGCCTTGTGTTGATTTCCTGTAGTTGACTTTCAGGTTTTTCTGCCTCTGGGTTTAGTGACACAGAAGAATTCTAACCACGCACAGTGAGTCTTATCTGCTGGTGGCTATTTGCTGTTTGTTGCCTCTCCAACCCAACTGGAATTGAAACCTGGGGGAAATGTGCATAAATCCCCCCCAAGGAGCTCTGCTGCATGTGCAGCATTGCCGTCAGTCATCTCTTATTGATAGTGGCAGGGGATCTAAAAAAAAAAAGTTTAAAATATCGCAACTTTAAAAACCCAATATCTCGAGAAGTGGGCTGTTTCTGACTTCTGCTTAATCAAAACAATAAACTTCAGGCCTTTGTTTTAAGCACAGCTCTCTTTTTGGGAGAGAATGGCGAGACAGTATTGGTGTGCTCCAGGAGAGATCTTATCGAGGTAAAACCCAAGAGCAGCAGAACTGTGGCTGACATCTTCACAGTCCCGACTTCCTCATTGGCAGTCTGTGTTTACCCGGAAGAGAGCGGTGGATATGCAGTGTGTAAATCTGTCCTGAGAGGTGTGATGCCTCCCTCTGTAGGAGCACCACCTCTGTGCGGTTCTGGTCCGGTTCTGCCCTGCTGAGACGAGCCCGGGCAGGATCATGGGAAACCTCATAGAAGACTTCATGTGTGCTTGTGGGAGGAGCTGCAGTAAAGTCTGCTGTAATCTAAACAAAAAGAATACTGTTCAAAATCTAAACGAGAGAGTAGGTGAAATAATTTACAAAGAAAAAATCATCTCTAGCAAAAGTGAGTTAGCTTTGTCAGCGATGTTGTTCACAACTGTGACCAACACCGATCTTCCCAGGGCGGGGGACAGGCCGGTCAGCTCAGTTCTGCCGGGACGAGGCTTTGCGCTTTGCTGAAAGGTGTGAAGGGTTCATTTCCGAGAGGAGGGCGGCGGAGAGCATGAATATCTTCTATGATGTTTCCGACTGGAGAAGAGAAGAATTATTTGCGTGAATGTTCAGTCCACAGGTTGCACACTTTAACGTGCTTGTTGAAACAACAGAGGCTGCATCCAGTCCAGTGGCTTCCAGCTACACCTGGTGAAGAGCCCAAAGATCCTGAATTTCCTCCCCCATGGGGAAGTGGTGTGAACTTGCATTCATTTAGAGCGTGTTGCTTCCCTGAAGTTAGCCTGAGCAGGGCGATTGTCTTACTTGGGAAAAGCACTCCGGTGCTTCTGAATGCCCTGCAGAGCTGATTCGATATTGTAACTCACCGCTGTGCAGCACCTGCTGGTCTGAACATTCCAGAGATGTTTTAAAATAACTCTAGTTCAGAAATAGTCACACGTTAAAGGGGGAAGAGGACAGTCTTTATTGTTGAAACACTCTCATTTCTGACTTCATTTGTACTCCGTAAACTTTAATTTTGTTGTTGCTTTTTCCCCATAGGTGTTCATTTTCATGTGTCTGGCTGGCTTTGTTCATTTTCCTGCTGCACCTGTTTGCTGTCTGCTAACCTTGGACTTGTTTTTTGTCTTGTTTTGTAACCTGCATCCTTCTCTTCGCCTGCTTAGCCTTGTCTGATGTTTCTGTGTCGGGTGTGCTCTGTCTCTCCCCTGACGTACCGTATGTCATCGTCAGCCTCTCATATTCCAGCAGCATTTCGCTTTGAGAAGCAGCAGCCTGTGGGCTCCTTTTGTGAGCACATGATATTCCTCCGCCTGTAGACGAGGGAGCTGGTTTACTGAGCTGAGCACTGCAAAACGCCTCGTCTCTGACAGACAGAGAGGCTCACCCCAGCTGTGCACTAAGGAGACCAGAGGAAAACTCGTGGTCTTTGCTCAGACAATAGCCGCTTCAGCGTTTTGACTGCCAGACCGAGGCTCAGGGGCTGTTTCTCAGGAGTGACTTGCTCTAGACTTTTGCTTCTGCCTCCTACCAGCATCGTTTCAAGGGCTGTCATGAAATGGGCATGGTGTGTTAGAGTTGTTAGAGTAAAGTGGGGACCCTTCACTCCAGAACTGCTTCTGAGGCTTGAGGTCCTGCTGCACTCCACAGCAGAGCAGGTTATTGTTTCTCTCTTCACTCCTCTGTGTTACGAGCCGCTAGGCAGAAACGAGCCTGCAGGGTGGTTTTGGTGGCGCGTCTTTCCAGGGTGAACTTTGAAAGCAGCTGAAGCCAAGTTGTGTTTTTAGTGCATTAAGAAAGCAGTGCCTTTCCTAAAGAGAAATGCTGCATTTGTACTTCTGATCGGGGCTGCTGCTGCATGCATGCAAATCTTTTGTTAAACTGGGATTAAAGGCATGGGAATAGCCTGTAACCCCCTTCTAAAAGCTGAGGTTCCAGTATGGCAGTGTCTGT